AAAGGAAAATTGAACTACGTGGGAGCTATGATCCACAAAAACAGCATATTACTGAAGATCTCTACTATGGGAAGGACAGCAGTGGTTTTGGTGCCTCTGCATCCATCCACTCACTGCCGAAGCCAACAGCGATCAGAGCCCAAGTGCAGCTCTTCATTTATCAGCCCCGGTGTTCAACTGCGATGATGTTCCACAGCTCAAGGCCACAGATGTTTCTTCAGTTGACTTACTGTTTCTTATCTTAAAAAATAATTGTATATGGAAGTCAGTTGTCATGTTTGACAGAAGAATAAATGAAAATCTTTGACTCAGACAGTTTATGGAGAACAGTAAGTGTTCTTGGACCAGCTGAACCTCCCACTTTGCCCCAGTTATAAAAACACTGGAACAAACTGCAGGGGAGAAAGAACTATTCCTCTACCTTCTAGGTCCTTCTGGCTGGCCCAAGAATTAAATTGATGTGAGACAGAAGAATAAGGAGAAAATCAAACAAAGTTTAATAACATGTATACATGGGAGAACCCCCGAAAAACTGAGAAACTCGCCAAAATGGCCAAAGCCACCACCTTAAATACCATCCTCAGCTAAAGACAAAGGAGGATGTTGGGGGCAGTGGTTTGGGACTTCAAGGAGGAAGAAGGTAATTTACATGGAGACGGAAATGTAAACGTTTGGTAAACAAAGGTTTGCTGGGCCATCTATAGACAAGGTGATCCAGAGAGAACTGATAAAAATGGGCCTAACAAGGTTCCTCCCAGTCTACCACACCTAGAGTTATCTATGGTGATCGCTCCTTCCTGGGACAGGCTTTCTATTTTAAATCCTTTCAGGCAGTTAGGGGGAAGGTCAAAGTTTCTTTCTCAGTCTTCTTAATAATCATGCCAGAGAGACACATTTTGGGGTGACAAATTCTGATCCCCCACAAAACAAAATAGTAGACCAACAAAATAGAACACGATGAAATAAAACAGCATGTTAAGGCCCAGGACAACTTCTGAGCCCACTGAGACAAATAATCTCCTCCAAATAATTTACCTCTTCAGTAAATGTACATAGATAACTTCATGAAGAACAAATGCCTTCTATTCACCTATACTACTTCTCACCTCTTTACCTCAGGGCCTTTTACTGAATAAGAACAGCCCCCTCCATAGGAGCTCATTATCTAGATTAGAAGCATTCTAATTCACACACACCCTTGTCTGTTAAAAGGATAGGAAAGAGACAAAGATTTATGGGATTAATCCTTAGCACCTTTAATACTTCTTAAATTTCACTTGTCTAGTTTATTTCCTAAGGAAATCACCTTATTTGCTGCCATTTGAACCACTTTACCTGTGAAAATTTAATATATCCAGAAAGAAGGACACTGTATGCTGGCTTATCTTGTGGTCAGATGTACACATAAACCAAATGTAAATGTATATTGGCTTAGGTAGGAAAAAATAATTTAAAAAGTTGAAAAAGGAATTATATTATGTTGAAGCACTTAAATATCGATATAAGAAGTTAATAACTATTCTTTCATTGGTGTTTAATAAACTTATAGGAGAATATGGATAATTTCTCTGCACTTTGAGATAACTGATCTCAAATTCATATGGATATACAGCAGAAAAGATTATTTTAACAATAAACCAGAGAGTTATAAAAATACGACTGAGATTTTTTAAAAAGGGAGATGGGAATTGGGGCAGACGCTGGTGAGGGAGGGAGCAGAAGGCCCCGGGACAAGTAGGGTTCCTAGCACACAGTAACAAGAATGAACCCAGAACTCTGCACATTCTGTTTCTTGCCCTCATTTCCAGAGACGTATTTTAACCTCAATTTTGCAAACATGAAACCTAAGGCTATCCAAGATTTAGTTTTAACATGCATTGAAGAAGATAATGGTTCGAGGAGTAATGCTTTAATTCTAAGATCAGCAATATAGATGGAATTAACAAGTGCATATAAAGCATTAGTAACTATCTTGAAAAAAATTGTATTGATGTTTTTCGTATACTTAAGAAAAAGATTCACCTCAAGTGGCTTTAAGAATCAAATTTAATCCCCACTGAAAGGAACAAGAGGTCTTTGAAGAAATGGTTGATTACAGGTCTGGGGCAGGGAATGTACAAAGGAAGTGCTTTAAGCATCAAAAAGAATGACTGTAATTAATTGTAACACATAATAAATCAACCAATGTTATACTGATATACAGATATAAACACAGATGTATGACAAGGGGAGGAGTGAGGAACTCTTCTTTACAGACCAATGCCAGCTAATAAACACAGATGGATTGACAAAATAAGAAAGTCACCATTTGGCAACCTCCAATGTAATCATTGATTCAAGGCAAAAATCATCAAAAAATGCTAAAACCATTAGGTGAATGGTTTTTTGGTAACAGGATATTTGCATGGATTTTTAATTGCAAAGAGGGAAGTGTATCTTTACAATGGGGAGTTCTGGCAGTCTCCATCTTAACCGAGGGACAAAAGTTAGCACCACTAATAGTGGGACAATCTGACATGTGCCACCTGATGTGATGCAATGTGAAATACACAGCATCATCTACAAGTATTCTTGCCAAAAATGTTTAACCTGAATTTAATCAGGCTGCCAGGCCAGTACATATCAAGAGAAATATAACGTGAGCCACATATGTAATATTAAGTTTTCTGGTAGGCACATAAAAAAAGTAAAAACAAAACCAAAACCCACAGGTGATATTAATTTAATAATATACTTTAACCCACTATATCCAAAATATTAGTATTTCAACATGTAATCAATATAAAAATTAATATTTTACTTTTTTTTGTAGTGAGTCTTCATAATTCAGTGTTTTTACACTTAAAGCACGTTTCAATTCAGATGCTAAATTTTCCTTGAAAATACTCGATCTGTGTTTAAATTTCATAAAATTTACAGTTGAAAAAGTAGATTCGCATACCCAAGTTGTTCCAAACCCATTTAACACTCTTGCAATAACAGAACTGAGTACGAACTTTTAAAGCTAAATTAAAATTAAATTAAATTAAAAATTCAGTCTCAGATGCATTAGCCACATTTCAAGTGCTCAACAGCCACATGAAGCTAGTGGCTACCATACTGGACAGTGCAACCTCAGACTGACTTAACTTCTAGTTTATAGGAAATAAAGGGGATAGTAGATAGATAAGGTAAATGACACCAACAGACAATCCAGAATATGGGACATTCTACAAAACAACTGTCTTAGAGCTTCCAAAAAGTCAACGTCATAAGAAAAGAGGAGGTGGGGAGACTATCTTAGCCTGAGAGACTAAAGAGACATAACAACCAAATGCAGTGTTGGATCCTTGCTCGAAAACAGAAACAAAAGCATGGACAACTGGGGAAACTTCTTTGAACTGGGGAACTGTGAATATGCACTACATTCTAGATGAATTATGGAACTATTGCTTATTTTCTTAGGTGTGATAATGGCATTATGATTATGTAGGAGACTGCTATTTCCAGGAGGGATCATAATTCTAGTAGGAGAATAATTTTAGAAATGCAATTTTAACCAAATATTAATCAAAGTTAACAGGAGAGAAGATATTTCGGGGCATGATGATCTCAAAATATTTACCTTGTATGCAACTTTTTTCCAGGAAGGCACTGGAGGATACACTCCTCCAAGATGAGAGAGTAAACCAAGAAAGAAGAAGATGAGGAATTGAGGAAGCAGGTGATCCAGCACAGGCATGAGTGATGAGAAGCCCCAGGATGATGGTTGGGAATCAGTCTTAGAAAGCAACCATTGGGCCGGCCCCGTGGCTTAGCGGTTAAGTGCTCGCGCTCCACTGCTGGCGGCCCGGGTTCGGATCCCGGGCGCGCACCAATGCACTGCTTCTCCGGCCGTGCTGAGGCCGCACCCCACATACAGCAACTAGAAGGATGTGCAAGTATGTCATACAACTATCTACTGGGGCTTTGGGTGAAAAAAAATAAATAAATAAAAGAAAGCAACCATTATGGGGGCCGGCCCAGTGACGTATCGGTTAGGTTTGCACACTCTGCTTCAGCAGCCCAGGGTTCGCAAGTTCAGGATCCCGGGTGCAGACCTACACACCGCTCATCAAGCCATGCTGAGGCAGTGTCCCACACAGAAGAGCTAGAAAGATGTACAACTATGATACACGACTATGCACTGGGGCTTTGGGGGAAAAAAGAAGAAAAGAAAGCCACTATTATAGACTGGACCAAGAGAGAAAAGCTCCGGGAGAGATGTCTTCAAAGAAAAAAATTGACAGGTGACAATGTTGTCCCATGAGCCAAATGAGTATTACATGCTAAAATTCAGATAATCTCTTATGCTAAAAAAAAAAAAAAAAGCCAATAAGAGCTAGCTCCAACAAAATTAAGCAAAAAAACAAATAAAGCAATTATTTACTCCAGGAAAAATAAAAACTTTTACAAGAAATGGAATTATAGTATTCCGTATGGCTCAGCTATGAACACTTACACTGTCATAACAACGTACACACTGAATGCCGGTTAAACTTTTTAAAATGTGATGCAACCATATTGAGAGGATGAGGGGAGGGGAAGGGGGTGGAAAATAGTTAAATTTTCATTATCAATAGATAATGCCTAAAATTGAAACATCAAGAAATAGAAAAATGAGCATTTTAGAAATATGAAAGTAAACGACCAGAAGAAAGGGTCAAAAGAGATACAAGTTGTTGCCTGTGGGGTGCAGAACTCCAGAGTGGAGAGAGGTGTGACAGGAAACAGCTGGTTTTCTTTATAAGTCCTGAGTACCATTAGGCTTGAATACTCGCTCGTGTGTGTGCGCGCGCGCGCACGCGCACACACACACACACACACACACACACACACACACACACACACACACAGGAAAGAAGCGAGGACAATTCAGATTCTGGTTACAGAGGGCTGACTGAACACAACTTTTTATCACTCCTTCCTCCAAAACCTATTGAAATGACAGAGGGAATATAAAAATAAAAATAAATCGATACCTCTGCTAGGAAGACAGGAGAATGCACCACAGCAGACCAGGACAGGCAGGAATTTCTGATGATACAGAGGACTTGGGATCCAATTGATCATTAAACCCATACAATATATCTAACTAAAAACAACCCTACACAAGCCTAAGAGAGAACCTCCAAAAATGAGCTTTGCCAGCACAGCCCCACCAAACCCCTAAAATGATACCCCCAGTTCCCTCCCCCGATCCTGCTGCCAGCAGATGAGGACAGCTCTCTAGGATGGGATGACGCATACTGCGGAGAAGGAAAGCAGAGACTTCGGGCAGTGTGCCAGGGGACTGACAGCTACCGTGAGGGAAGGAAACCCTGGAGAAGAGCTTTTCCGAGCCCACGCCACCCACTATGCTAAACCACCACCTCCTTCCATGCACCTGCATCCACTGCCAGACAAACGGGGAGTCTTATGATAGACAGCACGGTTGAAACGCAAAGCACAGTAGTAGGAATAAGACTGAACAGGTCCCTTATCATGATTTGTTGCTGTCACTGTCATCCTGAAAAGCCACTCCTTTCTGGAGACCCCGGAACTGTCCCTGATGCTGTTCTTTTCAAAACCTGGCTCTAGAACTTTCTGTCAAGTCAGTGAGTTTCTCCACATCTTCCCAATAAATTTCTTCTTGTTTAAGCTAACTAGATTCAGTCTGTTGCTTGCAATGAAAAAACTCTTACCATACAAAAAGATGGTTGAAGGACAATAAGCTTAATTTAATGCTATTATTACATTGTTTATATATGTATATATATTTAATATATACATTATACTATTATAATTAATAAGCCTAACTTAATGCTAATATAGGGAATGTACATTCTTTTCAAATGCCTATGGAACATGTACAAAATCTCTTAGGTAACACACACACACAAAAACCAATAATTCCAAAAAATAGAAATACATGGCCACAGTGTAAAACAAAACAAAAAAAACTAAAAATTAATACCAAAAGCATATCCAAACCTATTCACTTGGAAACAAATAAAGGCTTAAGTATAGCAAATTTAGAAAAGAATGGTAATAAGAACATTACTTGTCAAAATCTATGATATATCCTCAGATATGATTCTCAGAGGAAAGTTTATAGCCTTAAATACATTCATTAGAAACCAAGAAAGATGGACAATAAGTGAACTAAGTAGTCAGTTCAAAAACCTAGACAAAAGACAACAAAATGGAAACCAGGTAAATAGAAAAAAATGTAAAATATAAAATGAAATAGAAAAAATAGACTTGGTCAATAATACCAAAAGTTGGTCTTTTAAGAAATAGTAAAAGAGATAAATAATCAAAATTATTAATGAGAAGGGGAGCATATGAAGATTATCTTTTCTTTTTTTTTTTTTGTGAGGAAGATCAGCCCTGAGCTAACATCCATGCCAATCCTCCTCTTTTTGCTGAGGAAGACTGGCCCTGGGCTAACATCCGTACCCATCTTCCTCCACTTTATGTGGGATACTGCCACAGCATGGCCAGACAAGTGGTGTGTTGGTGCGAGCCGGGGATCCAAACCAGCAAACCCCAGGCCACTGAAGTGGAGAGTGCTCACTTAACTGCTCGCCACCGGGCTGGTCCCTGAAGATTATTTTCAAAATTATTAGAGTATTCTTTATTATGGGAGCCAAGAAGCCTACTTAGGCAAGACACAAGATCAAAAGTCATAAAAGAAAACACTGATAGATTGGGTTTCATGAAAAAAAAAAGTTAAATGTTTGAGAAATGAAGGACGCCATAAACAAAACTAACAAATAAGTGAACTACAAGAAAATGTTACATATATAAGAATTAAAAGCCACAACTGTAAAGAGTTGCTGTAAACTGATAAGAAAATCACATACCCAACCACATTTGGGGGAGGCAGTGCTCAATCCCATTATCAATTTATTATTCCAAAAGAGCACATGGTGGCTTAGCATAACATTCTGATGTTATGTTAAGATGTCAAATTAAATATTCAAGACATAGCACCTAAACAGTCTTTTCCTAGGGAGCACTGTACTATTTCTAAATATTTGATGAACTCAATGGAGTCAGTCAGTCCTTCAAGTTTGATTTTTATTTTTCTTTCCCAACCAAATTTTTTAATGCACAAAAGCTATACAAAATGAATTCTTAGAAAATGACCAATAAACATTTGAAAGAAGGCTCAACAACACTAGTAATCAGGAAAATTCAAAGCAGTAAGACACCATTTTTCACCCATCAGATCAGCAAAACTTTTAAAACTTGTTAACACGCAGTCTTAAAAAAGTTGTGAGGAAACAGGCACTCTCACTGTTAATGGGGAATGTAAATTGGTAGTATTTTTGGAGGACAATTTAGCAGTATGTATTAAATTTTTTAAACTGCATATGCTTTTGAATCAGGCCACTTACAGAAATCTATACTACAGAAATACTTGAACACGTGCACAAAGATATATGCATAAAGATGCTCACTGAAGCATTTCTTTGGATTAGTGAAAAAACTGACACTTTCTATATGTCAACCAGAAGGAAAATGATTAAAAAATTGCTGAGCAGGCTTTAAAATGAATGAGTAAATCTACAGGTACTTACATGAAAAAATTCCCAAGATATAGAGTTACATGGTAAAAAGTAAATTACTGAATGCAAACTGCATCGTGCAGCCATTTCCATATGTGTGTATCATTACAGACAAAGGCACACATATGTATGGGGGCAGGTATGGCATAGAGATTTTCATTTTTACTCTCTATTCCCGGGTTGTTTTAATGAAGAAAAAGAAGAAAAAAGAAAACAGTTTGGAAAGAGACACATCAAACTGTTAGTTGTGTTTACCTTAGAGAGGAGAGAAACAAGGGTGAAAGCGAAAGGGATTTGTGCTTTCACTTCACACACTATGGAAATCAAAAACAAAAAATCAAACATGCAAGTATTATGCAATTTTTGTGAAATTAAATTTTTTAATATAAAGGTATAACACATGTAAATACTTCTCAAAGACAAATGAAATGGACCCCAACTAAGTTTACCCTAGCAATTTTTCCAAGTCTCGATAAAAAATAAAATAGGACGGCATTGTCGTGGTTTACCTGGTACTTTTCCAGTTTTCCTTCCTTTACAACATAACTAGCAATTCCTTCAAAAGACTTCCTCACTCCTTTACGGAATATTACTACCTTAAACATTACCTTCCAAACCAAGAGTTCAAAGCAGCGTTAGCTCAAGAATTTCAGAGAATCCCAAACAGGCAGGATGTCACTGGTGGGGCGACTTTTTTTTTCCTCTTTCCTAATGTATATTAGAGCAGTATGTTGGAGCAGTATGTAGTCTGTCTGTAACCGTCCACTTTCCCCAAAAGTTACCCATGTAAATAAAATAACCGTCATACATAAGTCTCAAGTCGTGTCTTTCACTGGGACGGTGGACAGGCGCTGGGAGATCAGGAGAGCCGGGTCCTCGCTGGGGCGAGAGGACGCCCAGCTCCGCCTCCTCCAGGCCCCTGCCCAGCATCCTAACTGCGCGGCGACGCGCTCGCGGGCCTCGGCGTCCTCCCGGGAGGGCACGTTCCACACATCAGGGCCGAACGTCTAATGTAAAGGGGCACGAATCAAGGAGGCCGAGGCCACGATGGGGACTTTACCTCAGGGCGGGCAGAGAACGTACTGGAAAAGGACCTGCACTGTGTTTATGGAGACTGCCGGGGGGGCGGGTGGACCCCAGGACCACGGCCAGCACGCGCCCCTCGGGCTCCACGGATAACAGGGACGGCTGCCTGACACGAGGGATCAGGCCGCAGACCGCCCCCCCACCCCCCGACCCTCGGCCCGCGGGCGGACGGCCCGCGCATGCTCAGTAGGGGCCGCCTCCATTTTGTCCGCGGTCTCCTCCAGGCCGACCGATCGGCGCCGTTAGAGAAGGGGGGCGTGCGGCCGCCGTGTGCTGGACGCTGGCGCTTGGGCAAACGGGGCTAGTGCGGGGGCGCTTCCGGGGTCGCCGGGGCCATAGGACAAAGGACACGGGGACACGCCAGCCGGGCCTGCTTGGTGGCCGCGGGGCGCGCTCGCAGGACAAAGCGGCGGCGGCGGCGC